GTTCTAGGGTGAGTGGATATCTGGGGCTTAACCCAGAAAAATCCATGTATGTGTCACTATACAAGAAATAAACTTTAAATAAAATAGTTTTTTTTTTTTTAACAAGGTCAATATCTCTTGCGAATTAAAATTAAAAATCACAATGCCACGCACCCTCTTTTTTCCTTGCTGACTCATCTCAGACATGGTTGGCAAGCTCAGCTCTATTATTGTTTTAATAAATAGCATTTACTTAACAACATGATTTTTGTGAGAATAGATAAAAAGAGGTGACTAAAGAATCTCTATAATAACAAAAAAAAAAAAAAAAAAATCTTGACCCATTCTTCATGCACACATTACATTTTAAAGACTAATAAGACTACCTACCTTACCTTTTGTGTGTGCGCCACGCGTGCACGTCCTATTGACTGTGCTGCACAAAGTGTTTGACGATCAAAATGTATATCTGACAATCTAAAGAAAGAAATCTAATACTACGATTAAAAGTTACAGATACCTGCTGAAGCTGTTGTATCTTGTTTTAGTAATGGCTGGGGGTGTTTTAATTCCTTTTTCTTTTCTTTTTTTTTTTTGGAATAACTTTGATAGCATCCATTTTACTCGTTCATTACTAACTTCTTGCACATCAACAAACACCCGGCTCCAAAATATTTAATTTCATTGGCTGGATCGTACAAGACCGCCGAGCTTCTCATCGATGGTTGGCCAGTTTACATGTCAGTCAGAAGCACTAGCCTGAGTGGGCGGTTCTTGTCGGTTGTGAATGACAATGCGTATGTTGACGGACGCTGTGATGCGAGAGTCGAGAAATATACATTTAATTAATTAAATTCTCTCAGTGATGGTGTGTACAATGCAAGGAAATAAAAACATTCGGGGCTTTACTGAAAACAGCCCCCTTAGCCCACCCCTAGCGCCGCCCCTGTCTGCGATATTCTGTTGAAAATGGAGTTTAATCGCCCTCCTGTGGTGAACTGTGTGAATTACACTGCTGAACCGTATTCAGAGCGCCAGAGGAAAACTGCACTAAACTCTGCACTTACTTTGCATTTATTTCACATTGTTTGATAAATTATTAATTTAAAGCGACATAGTAAAAAAAATATAGAAAAGTTCGCTTTTGTTTAATGGAAATATATTCTTATATCTGTAATATCAATTTAAAGACTCACGTCTAAACGCCCTCCTGTGGTGAATTGTGTGCATTACACTGCTGTTAATTATCTCATTTCTGTTAACCTTCAGGGATGGGCAGTATTTCAGATACATGTATTTAAAATACGTATTTGAAATACAAAATACTATTTTGTATTTTGTATTTTAAAGCCTTTGGAAAAAATCAAATGTAATTTGTATTTAAATACATTTAGGATGAGTATTTTTGTATTTTCAAAATACTCAAAATACTCTGAGCCAGAATCCTAGAAGATCAGAGGAAGGATTTGGACATCTTGAACCAGTATCCACTTATTAGACAGCTGTTTGTGAGGTTCAACACAATTATTCCCTCTTCAGCTCCTGTAGAGCGCTTGTTTTCCTTTGCGGGTCTAATCGGTACATTTTATTTGAAGGGGTGTGCATAAGACTGACATGACACTGTCATAAACATGACATAACACCTGTCATGAACATGAAGGAGTCTTTATGAATGTTTATGACTTTTGTCATTAAGTGTCATTCGGTAAATTATGACAATTTTAATGCAAAGTTGACATTGTTTAAAATGTCTTTGTTATGACAACTTGACATTAACCAAGAAATCATAACCTGTCAACCTGCCATGTTTATACCTAGTCCAACGTGTTCCACTTTACTTGAGGTAAGGGGAAATATTAATGACACTGTTGTTAAAACATTTGACAGTGTAATAACCCTTAATGACATCTTTATAACTAGTACAATGTGTTCCACTTTACTTGAGGACAAGTAAAATATTCATGTCACAGTCATAATGGTGTCATGACGGCCAAAGTCAAAACCAACCACATATGACAGTAATGTAATGTTAACGCAAAGCTAAATAACTTCTTTAAGTTTGATAATTAGACCTGTTATGACATTTGTGAAAGGTTATGATTTCTTGGTTAATGTCAAGTTTTCATAACAAAGACATTTTAAACAATGTCAACTTTGCATTAAAAGTGTCATGTTTATGACAGTGTCATTTCAGTCTTATGCACACCCCTTCAAATAAAGTGTTACCGTTTAATCAATAGGCCACACAGACGACGTCTTAAACCCAAACTTTTTGAAAAGCTGGTGGTGCTAAAGGGAATCGAATAGATAGATGTCTGAAACACATAGGTACACCACCTGGAGGAGCAGTAGAATATCATGTTTAAAGCAGTTTTCCAAAGATGAAGTTTGGATCAATGTTCCAGAAACTGTTTGGATTTTCCACAAATCTTTTAATCCAGTTGATTTTTAATATCTCATTGAAAGTGAGAAGTCAATTACCGATAAACCCGCCTCCTCAATTTTATTAGTCAAGATGTTTTTCCTGATTTTATGAGGCTTCTTCCTCCATATAAAGTTATATAATAGTTTGTCTAGATTGGCACATTGTAACTTATGAATTTCTATTGATGTAAATAAATCTGCAGCTCGTGAGAGACCTTCTGCTTTAGAAAGAAGAACCTGCCATACGTAGATATATCTCTTGATCCAAGAGTCAAACTTTAATGAATATAGTCGTGTAGTAAAGAAATATTACTCTCTGTCATTAACTTTTGATTAGGATTGATTTTATTCCATTATAAGTTACTAAATTCTTTATATTGATGCCTCATATTTGACCCGAATGCTTATTTTTTAACAGAAAACTGCTCACATTTTGAAAGATTTAGATTCAAGCCTGAGCTTTCAGAAGATTGGTTTACAACATTTAGTGCAACTCCTATTTGGGATTCATTTTTTAGAAACAGGGTTGTGTCATCAGCCAGCGGTCAGATTTGTATTTCTCTTTCATTTGATGTAATTCCTTTGAATGAACTCTTGTGAATTAAATGACAGAGTTTGAGCTTCAATCCCCAATAGAAGAGGCGAGGTGCGGCAGTCTTGGCGGAGACCTTTGTGTGTGTGAAATCTAGATGAGTTTCCATTAGCCAATCTAACACAACTGTTTCCTCACATGTACAGAGTTTATACAGCATTAATACAATTCTTACCTAAACTAAACCAGTTTAAGGTTTCAATAATAAACTTGTGGCTTACCGTGTCAAAGGCTTTTTGAAAGTCTAAGAATAAAATAAGGTGTTGTTCATCATCTAGAAAGTCTTTGTATTCAATCAGATCCAAAACTAAGCGAATGTTATTGGTTATGTGACGATCTTTCATGAAACCAGATCGGCATTCATCAATTAAAGTGTGTAATTTAGATTTGAGGCGTTTTGCTAAGATAGATGCTAGAATCTCACGGTCATTATTTAGCAGTGTTTGGGTCGCCGATTGTCAATGAACAGCGAGTGTGTGTGAGGTTTTGGATGAAGTGTGTGTCGCCTCAGAGAAGGAGGAAGATCCCTCTGTCAAGAGATTCTCTGAAGACAGCCAGAAGAAATTTACCTCAGAGAAACATTTCTACATCTCAGAGCTCAGACCATCACAGCCTGGGGATTTATTGTTCATTATTTGAGTTATTCCCCAAATAATCTCCTCAAGAGTTATGTCCTGACAGCAGATTTGATTATATTCATTACAGTCATTATTTAGCAATGTAATGGGTCTCCGCTGCCCTGCTGAAAATGTGAAGCAGAAACGCTTAATATCAGATAACGTCCATAATAATTGTACTTTGGGTTTGATTTTTTTGACCGTTGTCATATTGTCAACATGGCCGGCTACTTGAAGCAGAATAGTGGGCCATATATGTCTAATGCTTTTAAAAACCTAAGGCTTTCTTCTTCATATTTTTTTAATTTATTTTTTACTTATTTATTTACATTAGTAAGCTACATGACATCATCTTTCAAAACATGACCTGCGCGAAAGAGAAAAATAAATGAATGTGTTTCTGTCCCAGCACATTTCAGACCACACTGACGCCCATGGGTTCACATTCAGATTCACAGTGATTACTGTCCCTCATCTTTGATAAAACTGGCCCTGATTTGTTTTAAGATAACTGGGTCACATTTGCTGCAACATATGTGGGTTATGTTTGGTTTACACCCAGATTAGTCATTGTTGATTGTGCCACATTTTTGCCATAGGTGGCCCACATTTGGTTTGTGATATTTGGTTCATATTCATTATTTATCATATGAGCCGCTTTAGGCCCACATTCAGATTACACATTGCCATGAGTGCCGCATCTTTGCCTAAAAAGGCCCACATGTGATTTAAAATATTTGGGCCATATTTGCCATTTTACACATGGGCCACTTCAGGCTCACACACATTTTGTCAGCCCATAAGAAGGCCTGCAGTGCCGCATCATCGCCTGAAGTGGCCCACATCCGTCTGCTATCTGAGGAGCGAGTGAAACACACACAAATGCTGTTAACTGGGGAAAATGTTTAGTCGGTCTGTAGAGGAGAAGCAGGGTGACCATATTTTGATTACCAAAAACCAGGACACTCAGCCCAGCAAACACATGGGCCAACTCAAATGATACTCGAAGTTTACTCAAAGATACCGTATTAATTTCAATACATTTAAAGTAGGTTATGCCTCCTCTGTATGGATAGAAAATTGTTATATTGTATATATCGTTATATGAAAACAGGACAGTTGGTCACCCTAAGAGACTTCATCCACTGAACAAAGACAATATACTGTACATCTGTGCATCAGCAACACACACACACACACACACACACACACACACACACACACAACTTCATATACAATAAAACAATAACGATATTCTGTGTATATGATAAAATGTTCAAAAGTTACATGTAATCTTTACATCTTTTGAAACATTTATGTGCTATACTTGACGATCACGTTCATGATTAGAAATATTTGAATAATTCTAGATGAGTTTAGTCTAAACATTATTATATTTGCAGGCCTGATAGTGAAGATTTCTGCTGACACTCATCTGAGCTTCTTCCTCTGTTCCACCTTTAATTACAACTAAACCATCATTTGGCTGAATAATAAACCAACATTAATCATTCAATATCACATGTTTCTAATACGCATGCTAACACACACGCTGCTTTATTTAATAGTGAAGTCTGAGTCTCTTCCACCTGTATGAAACACATTTACACATGTATTTCTCCTCATAGACAGCAGTGAGACTCTTCTGTGGATCACCTGATGGTTTCTGCTCCTCTCATCTCCGTTTCACAGATTTAAACCTTGATGGAAATCCACTGACGTTTGCCGGTCGATCTTCATCTACATTCATATACTGTAAAATGGAAAAGAAGAGAAACAATCAGTTCAATGGAACAATGTGCAAATTATTATTTCAATTACTGTTTTTTGGGTAAAAAATGTTAAATTGAATTCCTGTAATCAGATTAATTACTGACTTTACATGATCTTGGATAGAGATATTTGTGTTTTTAAATATAATAGATGTAAAGTCTGAATCATGTTCATATGTGTGTCTGTGTGTGTCGGTGCGACTCCTATTGAGTCTCTGTAAAGGAGAAACTAATGAGTGTACGGCGTATGGAATAAACCACAGCGAGCAAATACTAATGTTATTTTGAGTTAAACACAAACCTTTAGTTAAAGCCGTTTGTCCTCTAGTTTAAACATGTTTGTAGGCTCTTAGTAAATAACTGAGAGTAAAGTAAGTGTCGAGTAGTGTGACGTGTTGCTTGTCACAGTAAAAACACACTAGAGACAGAGACATTGCTCATGTGAGCTGGACGCTGTGAGCTGAAGCTGGAACTGCACTGATTTTAGCAGGAGTGCAGCGTTTCCTACAATCTGACCAAGTCTGTTTCACACTCAAATGATTCACTTCTACTGACACAGTTCATAAAGCAGGTGTTGATGTATAAAGCTGTGACAGTGAGCTTTTCTTCTCTTTCCTCCTTTGTGTTCAACATTTCAATAACTTCACATTATGTTCTCACACAAACCCTTTGTTGCAACAAATCTTATTGATAATTTCCTTTCACGAATGTTTAAAAGGTTTGTTCACATATCAGAGGTAAATGAAGATGTCTTTAATATCTCAGTGATGTTTCCTCACCTCAGGACACAGTTTGAGTCTCGTAGTTCGTCTCTGAGCCGCTGCTTTGAGTCTCCGATCTCAATGTTTCTCAGATCAAGCACTTTTAAAAACTGCAGAGCTTTTGAGTTCGTCAAAGACTGAGTTAAAGAAGAAACATCTGTAATGCCACAGTCAAACAGACTAGAGAGACACAAACAGAGGAAGAGATATTATCTTACAAACAAATCATGAATGTGAAGAATTTTACACAGATATAATGTGAACTCAGACTCACTGTCAGATATTGAGAATAAAGTGTTTTAGTTTAATAAACCCAGAAAGTGCACTGCTATAACCAATGAAACATAAGCCCTGCTGTCTTCAAATAAATAAACTTCAGTCACACTGTAATTGCTGTACAGTATAATGACACTAACTGTAGTTTCTCCAGCTTGAATTGTGGGTTCATCAGTAGATCACTGAGGTTTTTCACTCCAGAGTTTCCTAGTTTATTCCTGCTCAGGTCCAGATCTCTCAGGTGTGACGGGTTTGATTTCAGAGCTGAAGTCAGGATGAGACTCTGTTTCTCTGTAATACTGCATCTATACAGACTGAAGACAGAGAAATAACAATAGTTCACATCTATGATGATCATCTTATTGAAGAGCTACAGCAGCATTTAGTTTCCAATAGTCTGTTTTAAAACCCAGTCACACTAGTTCTGTGCGCTGGAAGACACTGTTTCTTCTCTTTCATTTCTATCTATTTATTTGACGTCTTTCTTCTTTATTCTCTGTTGAAAAGGCAGATTTCTGCGTGTACACAATCAGTACATTGTATCAGATGCTGGGAATTAAACAATTACTATCTACACTCTAAAAAGTTTTATATGATTTACAACATTTTTTTTGGTGAAAAATGTTCACACTCAAAAATATTGATTCAATTTTAAAGCAGTGAAATCAATTACAATACACTGTATAAACTAACTAGAAAAAAGCACACAAAACCCAGAAAGTGCACTGCTATAATCAATGAAACATAAGCCCTGCTGTCTTCAAATAAATAAACTTCAGTCACACTGTAATTCAGTGGTGGGCCGTCAGGGCCAGCAAGGCCTAAACACTATCAGAATCACTGACTTGCACTTTAATATATTTTTTGCATGAATATTAAATTATTCCCAATAGTTCATTCTCTTAATTTCATAGCTTTTCTCTTGGTTGCGCTGCTTCCAGTATTGTGTTTTTATGTTAGAGCTTGTATCCAATCATATTTCAGCCATCATGTGTTGCCGGGTCAAATAAATCTGCCTGGAGGCCTTCAGAATCGACAGTGCAGGCGCCTGTAGCTTAAAATGAAAGGCAATGAAACTGTTTCTTTAACCAATCAGATAATCCGTCAAATTTAATCAGCCAATCAGATTTTGCTTTGACTGCAGTGGGGCCATCTAGCAGGTGTATAATAACATCTGTATTTACTCGTTCTTTGATTGGACGCGCGTATTATTACTGGTAGTATCTGCATCTGTAGCGAACTGCATAAACTAAAATATATTCCTGTAGATGTAATAGATTTCAACCCACAAATTAATGTTTCTTTCCCTCCTCGACCCCCAGCAGAAAAAATCCCTTATTCAGCCTGAGCTAAACGCAGAGTAACGGGACTCTATTCGATCTCTCCGGGTTAAAACAGAACAGATTAATGTAAGATATGCCACAAATGATTTTGAAGGCAAAAGTCCCGCTGATCTCGTTGATTTCGGTCAAAACTCTGTGTGAGAGCGTGGGGCAGCTGTACACATCGTCATGTTTTGTGGTGACTGTGTGCTTCTGTCGAACAGGCACTCTCAGCCATAAAGCAAATTAAAACTTATGCTAGAAATGTGACGAGACAGACACGACATTATTGGAACTGAAACGCAGTTAGAACCTGTACGACAGTAATTGAAGTCTTCTTGAGGAAAGAAATAAGGATGGATTTTGTGCAAAAAATTATCTGTAGTTTTGGTGAGTATATGCTTTTTTCCCCGTGGTGAATATGATTTTCTTCTTAATTTTTTGTATAAATTTATGATCGAAACGTAATTTTTTTCAAACATTCATACTATTGTAACGTCTGAAAGGGACTATTGTAACCCTTGAACGACAAGATAAGTGAGGCTTCGTTTCTGAACTTATAATCGGATTCGGAACGCAAGAACCACTTTACAAACGCACCAGCCGAACTCACGCGCTCGTTTCTCTCTACCGGCCTCTCCCGAACTCACCGCATAACCCAATAACTGCCGGTGCAAAATAAAAACAACAATTATTGAGAGTCTTTACGCTGATACACTATTAAAAGTTATTAATTCAGGTAGGACAGATGGCCTAAGTGTGAAATGCACGGCCCACCACTGCTGTAATTGCTGTACAGTATAATGACACTAACTGTAGTTTCTCCAGCTTGAATTGTGGGTTCATCAGTAGATCACTGAGGTTTTTCACTCCAGAGTCTCCTAGATTATTCCTGCTCAGGTCCAGCTCTCTCAGGTGTGACGGGTTTGATTTCAGAGCTGAAGTCACATCAGAACAACCTTCATCTGTCATATCACAGTCTCTTAACCTACATTAGCAGAGAGAGAGAGAGAGAGAGAGAGAGAGAGAGAGAGAGAGAGAGAGAGAGAGAATGAAGAAAATAAGAGACTCTTTATACTATAAAGTCTCATCATCTTCATCAGCAAATAAAACAGACAGAGGAAGAGAGATCTTCATCTTTATTTCACCAGATCACAAAATACTAAGGTGAAAATGTTTGTTCAAATATAATGTTAATGTGTTCAAGTTTAAACAGTTGAAGTGATTTTAAGCATTTTGATTCTTGTATGTGAATGTGACTGACCTCAATCTCTCCAGTTTACAGTGTGGATCCTTCAGTACGGCACATAAGTGCTTCACTCCTGTGTTTCCTAGATTATTCACGCTCAGGTTCAGCTCTCTCAGGTGTGACGGGTTTGATTTCAGAGCTGAAGTCAGGATGAGACTCTGTTTCTCTGTAATACTGCAATAACTCAGACTGAAGACAGAGAAATAACAATAGTTCACATCTATGATGATCATCTTATTGAAGAGCTACAGCAGCATTTAGTTTCCAATAGTCTGTTTTAAAACCCAGTCACACTAGTTCTGTGCGCTGGAAGACACTGTTTCTTCTCTTTCATTTCTAACTATTTATTTGACGTCTCTCTTCTTTATTCTCTGTTGAAAAGGCAGATTTCTGTGTGTACACAATCAGTACATTGTATCAGATATTGGGAATTAAACAATTACTATCTACACTCTAAAAAGTTTTATATGATTTACAACATTTTTTTTGGTGAAAAATGTTCACACTCAAAAATATTGATTCAATTTTAAAGCAGTGAAATCAATTACAATACACTGTATAAGCTAACTAGAAAAAAAAGCACACAAAACCCAGAAAGTGCACTGCTATAACCAATGAAACATAAGCCCTGCTGTCTTCAAATAAATAAACTTCAGTCACACTGTAATTCAGTGGTGGGCCGTCAGGGCCAGCAAGGCCTTCTCTGAACACTATCAGAATCACTGACTTGCACTTTAATATATTTTTTGCATGAATATTAAATTATTCCCAATAGTTCATTCTCTTAATTTCATAGCTTTTCTCTTGGTTGCGCTGCTTCCAGTCTTGTGTTTTTATGTTAGAGCTTGTATCCAATCATATTTCAGCAATCATGTGTTGCCGGGTCAAATAAATCTGCCTGGAGGCCTTCAGAATCGACAGTGCAGGCGCCTGTAGCTTAAAATGAAAGGCAATGAAACTGTTTCTTTAACCAATCAGATAATCCGTCAGATTTAATCAGCCAATCAGATTTCGCTTTGACTGCAGCGGGGCCATCTAGCAGGCGAATAATAACATCTGTATTTTCTCGTTCTTTGATTGGATGCGCGTATTATTACTGGTAGTATCCGCATCTGTAGCGAACTGCATAAACTAAAATATATTCCTGTAGATGTAATAGATTTCAACCCACAAATTAATGTTTCTTTCCCTCCTCGACCCCCAGCAGAAAAAAATCCCTTATTCAGCCTGAGCTAAACACAGAGTAACGGGACTCTATTCGATCTCTCCGGGTTAAAACAGAACAGATTAATGTAAGTTATGAAACGAATGATTTTGAAGGCAAAAGTCCCGCTGATCTCGTTGATTTCGGTCAAAACTCTGTGTGAGAGCATGGGGCAGCTGTACACATCGTCATGTTTTGCGGTGACTGTGTGTTTCTGTCGAACAGGCACTCTCAGCCATAAAGCAAATTAAAATTTATGCTAGAAATGTGACGAGACAGACACGACATTATTGGAACTGAAACGCAGTTAGAACCTGTACGACAGTAATTGAAGTCTTCTTGAGGAAAGAAATAAGGATGGATTTTGTGTAAAAAAATAATCTGTAGTTTTGGTGAGTATATGCTTTTTTCCCCGTGGTGAATATGATTTTCTTCTTAATTTTTATGTATAAATTTATGATCGAAACTTAATTTTTTTCAAACATTCATACTATTGTAACGTCTGAAAAGGGACTATTGTAACCCTTGAACGACAAGATAAGTGAGGCTTCGTTTCTGAACTTATAATCGGATTCGTAACGCAAGAACCACTTTACAAACGCACCAGCCGAACTCACGCGCTCGTTTCTCTCTACCGGCCTCTCCCGAACTCACCGCATAACCCAATAACTGCCGGTGCAAAATAAAAACAACAATTATAGAGAGTCTTTGCGCTGATACACTATTAAAAGTTATTAATTCAGGTAGGACACACGGCCTAAGTGTGAAATGCACGGCCCACCACTGCTGTAATTGCTGTACAGTATAATGACACTAACTCTAGTTTCTCCAGCTTGAATTGTGGGTTCATCAGTAGATCACTGAGGTTTTTCACTCCTGAGTCTCCTAGTTTATTCCCGCTCAGGTCCAGCTCTCTCAGGTGTGACGGGTTTGATTTCAGAGCTGAAGACACATCAGAACAACCTTCATCTGTCATATAATAGGATCTTAACCTACATTAGCAGAGAGAGAGAGAGAGAGAGAGAGAGAGAGAGAGAGAGAGAGAGAGAGAGAGAGAGAGTGAAGAAAATAAGACTCTTTATTCTGTAAAGTCACATCATCTTCATCAGCAAATAAAACAGACAGAGGAAGAGAGATCTTCATCTTTATTTCACCAGATCACAAAATAATAAGGTGAAAATGTTTGTACAAATATAATGTTAATGTGTTCTAGTTTAAACAGTTGAAGTGATTTTAAGCATTTTGATTCTTGTATGTGACTGACCTCAATCTCTCCAGTTTACAGTGTGAATCCTTCAGTACGGCACATAAGTGCTTCACTCCTGTGTTTCCTAGATTATTCCAGCTCAGGTCCAGATCTCTCAGGTGTGACGGGTTTGATTTCAGAGCTGAAGTCAGGATGAGACTCTGTTTCTCTGTAATACTGCAACTCCACAGACTGAAGACAGAGAAATAACAATAGTTCACATCTATGATGATCATCTTATTGAAGAGCTACAGCAGCATTTAGTTTCCAATAGTCTGTTTTAAAACCCAGTCACACTAGTTCTGTGCGCTGGAAGACACTGTTTCTTCTCTTTCATTTCTAACTATTTATTTGACGTCTCTCTTCTTTATTCTCTGTTGAAAAGGCAGATTTCTGTGTGTACACAATCAGTACATTGTATCAGATGGGAATTAAAAAAAATACAAACTACACTTTATTAACTAGATAAAAAACTGTGAAAAGATAAAGAAATAGAAAAAAATGTGAGCAATAGGTAAACCCAGAAAGTGCACTGCTATAACCAATGAAACATAAGCCCTGCTGTCTTCAAATAAATAAACTTCAGTCACACTGTAATTGCTGTACAGTATAATGACACTAACTGTAGTTTCTCCAGCTTGAATTGTGGGTTCATCAGTAGATCACTGAGGTTTTTCACTCCAGAGTCTCCTAGTTCATTCCAGCCCAGGTCCAGCTCTCTCAGGTGTGACGGGTTTGATTTCAGAGCTGAAGTCACATCAGAACAACCTTCATCTGTCATACAACACCAGCTTAACCTACATTAGCAGAGAGAGAGAGAGAGAGAGAGAGAGAGAGAGAGAGAGAGAGAGAGAGAGAGAGAGAATGAAGAAAATAAGAGACTCTTTATTCTATAAAGTCACATCATCATCAGCAAATAAAACAGAGGAAGAGAGATCTTCATCTGCATCAGATCACAAAATACTAAAGTGAAAATGTTTGCAGAAATTTATTGTGAAATTAGACTCGTGTGAGATATTGCATATAAATATATACTGATATATTGAGTGAATAAATGAATATTGAGTGTTTTAGTTTAAACTTTTGATTCTTGTATGCATGTATATACATACATCATCTGAGGTAGAAGTGTGCTTTCGGAGCGTGTGATTGGCTGAATGTGAGGTGGAAGTGTGCTTTCGGAGCGTGTGATTGGCTGAATGAGAGGTAGAAGTATATGGAAGTAAAATAATGTCTAATGTTTTTGAAACAAAAAGCATGTTGAATTGCACCAATTAAAAAAAAAGCATTGTGTTAACCTTGCTTGCATTTTAATCCATTGTATTTTTAAGGATTATATTTTTATGGGCTAAAATGTCTCAACATGGCTGAATATTTAAGCTGTGAATATTTCAATTAAAAACATTTTTCATTATTAAAAATTCAATAATCCATATTCACCTTTCATATTTCACTTCCAAAATTTTCAAACTGTTTAAAAATACAACCTATAATATTCAACAGGCAATTTTCGGTCCATTTTATTTCGCCTTGAAAATTCGCTTCCACAAATTCAGTGGTTCAAATTCGACAGTAAATTCAACGGTGACATCCAGAAACTGCAGGAAAAGCAGTAGATTACTGAGCATACTCTCTATCTGCTGTTAGACGGCTTTACCAGCAGGGGGTGCACGCGCATGTTGAAAAGCACCAAAGCAACAGGAGAGGCCTTCACAAAACGTCATTTGCTGAAATGGACAGAGCGATGAGTACGAGTTATAATTTATATGTGTGTGGGAAAGATTGATTAAGATACAAAACACACGAGCCTTTACTCAAGTGTCTTATGAGACTTAATTTTGATTTGTCCACAGCAAAACTAAATTCTCTCGCCGTTGGCATTGATAGTAAAACAACTGTAATACACTGAGACAGAGTGAATTGTTTGTTATAGTCACTATGACGGAATACTAATTTTTTTTTTTTTTAACTTTAATGATGGAATAAATTGTTTTAAGTGTCAAAAACAGTCTCTCTCTCACACTAACACACACTCTCTCTCTCACACACACACACACTAACACACTCTCATCTCTCTCTCTCACACTAACACACTCTCCTCTCTCTCTCTTTCTCACACACACTAACACACTCTCTCACACTAACACACTCTCTCGCTCTCACACACACTAACACACTCTCTCACACTCACACTCTCTCTCGCTCACACTAACACACTCTCATCTCTCTCTCATTCTCACACACACCAACACACTCTCTCACACTCACACTCTCTCACACTCACACACTCTCTCGCTCACACACACACACACACACACACACACACACACACACACACACACACACACACACACACACGATTATCTTTGCCTCTTATCCCGTGATTGTCATACAGTATTGTTAAAGTATGGAAGCAAATGAGAGACATAACTATTTGAAATTTAACAGCCACTGAATACTTTTACTAGTTTTGAATACTAGTTTTGTATTCAATTTTATTTTGAAAAACATTTGTCTGAATTTATTTGCTCAGAATTCACCCCTTTGAAATTATTTTACTTTGGAAACCATGCGTCTGAATTTATTTGTTTCGAATTTACCGCTGAAATTTAAAGGTGCAATGTCAAAAAGTTGAGTATCTATTACAGTTTTTCTCGATTGTTTACACACATTTCCTGCAAGTATGCCTCATATTCTCAGAACTCTACACACAAATCTAAAAACACACACACAATCGGCAAAACCCCTCAATTCTAGTGCAAAATGAAACTTCACATTCAAAACAATGTTATATATTCTCAAAATGTTATTTTGTTTTCAAATGACACACACAAACCATTATATGAATAGACATTTATAAGAACCAGCTGAACACTGATGTGCTCAATGTAAAACACTATGATCAATGTAAAACACTTCTTCTCCATTCATCATAATGAATTGGGCCTTTTTTGTTCAGGGTTACACTTACTACAGATATTACATACATAACTGTGTTGTAAAATATTTGAGAATATTGTTTTTATACCCAGAACACACAAATACACGGTAACAAATATATTTTACTGTATTTTTCCCACAAAAACAATGGGAAATAGATTGCACATTTCATACACCCCAATCAACACAAAGTTGCACATACAGTGGTCTACATACAAAACAACAGAAAAAAATGTTTATGCTGTTACAGTAAAAATCTATGCTGCATCCTCTCTTTGGTTTTGGTATTTTATGCTAAAGCTCTGATTGCTAATTGTTAAACTGTGAGACGTGTGTTTGTCCATGTGACGAGTCAGTGTGAATATTTGAATGTCAGTGTGTTCCTCGTGAAAAGAAGAGATTTTCTGCATGAAAATTGTGCCAAATGCAGAGAATTTGTGTGTAGTGTTTTGAAAAAAGTGTGTTTTAGAGCTGCAATTTGAGTGTAAAGCAGGAATTGTGCTTGTAGTTCATCAGAATTGGTTCAGGGGGTTGGTGAATGAGTCACATGTTGTGGTCATTGTGTCTCAAGTACCAGAATTTGTGTGTAAATAATTGAGAAAAACTGTAACAGAAATGCAATATGACATCCATAACTATGTTTTCAGTGATGTATAAAGAACTTACTTAATAAACCGTAATGTTTTTATTACCTTAAAATGAGACATTTATATCTCCATAACCGCGGGAATCCCCTTCTATGAAGGTCGCCATATTGTGACGTCATCTTTCTACCGTAGCCGAACGTGAACAAACAGTGTTACAGAACGCGTTTCGCCACTACCTTGAAAGAGAAGCAGCAGAAAGCTAGAAACTAGCCATAAACTCTGTGAGTAGTGACTTTTCCCTTGTGAGTAGTGTAAAATATGTAGTTGGGATTGTTTCATGTAACTTAGTTCTCCCTCGCTGTATTATGGGTTTGTTATGTGGGGAGAAATGTGCTGCTGGTTACGTTTGTGAGACAATCAGCTGATCACTATTATTATATTAAATTATATATTAAAACCCTTGATCCTCACCTGACTATGGCTTTGTAAACTGTATCCATGATGTGGTTTATAATGGATTGTGGTACAGAAACAATGACAATGTTACACACTCTTGGCTTACTCTGGCTATTCTCTGCTGTCTCAGCCGACGAGATGTTTGTCCCGTTTTAGCAACCGTAGCTTCTTCGAAAGGGAGGGGTGAGCAGTGGGCTAAGCCCTTAGTGCAAACCTGGTGCAAACTCACAACCGAACCGCTAGATGTCGCTAAAAATCCCACACTGCACCTTTAAACAGGCCTATGAAAATTTCCATTTTAAAAACCTGAATTTCGATGAATATTTTTCAATGCTCACAAATTCAGATACAAAAAAATAAAATAAATCAACGTACAGAATTTCAGATAAAATACATTCAGGTTAAATTATGAATTATGGGCGTGCTCAGAGTAGTAGCCATCAGCTTAAAAAAAAAAAACAATTTAAAAAATCTATGCTGCATCTTCTCTTTGGTTTTGGTATTTTATGCTAAAGCTCTGATCGCTAATTGTAAAACCGTGTGACATGTGTTTGCCCATGTGACGAGTCAGTGTGAATATTTGAATGGCAGTGTTTTCCTCGTGAAAAGAAGAGATTTTCTGCATGAAAATTGTGCCAAATGCAGAGAATTTGTGTGTAGTGTTTTGAAAAACGTGTGTTTTAGAGCTGCAATTTGAGTGTAAAGCAGGAATTGTGCTTGTAGTTCATCAGAATTGGTTCAGTGGGTTGGTGAATGAGTCACATGTTGTGGTCATTGTGTCTCAAGTACCAGAATTTGTGTGTAAACAATTGAGAAAAACTGTAACAGAAATGCAATATGACATCCATAACTATGTTTTCAGTGGTGTATAAAGAACTTACTTAATAAACCGTAATGTTTTTATTACCTTAGAATGAGACATTTACACTCACCGGCCACTTTATTAGGTACCCCATGCTAGTAACGGGTTGGACCCCCTTTTGCCTTCAGAACTGCCTCAATTCTTCGTGGCATAGATTCAACAAGGTGCTGGAAGCATTCCTCAGGGAGTTTGGTCCATATTGACATGATGGCATCACACAGTTGCCGCAGATTTGTCGGCTGCACATCCATGATGCGAATCTCCCGTTCCACCACATCCCAAAGATGCTCTATTGGATTGAGATCTGGTGACTGTGGAGGCCATTTGAGTACAGCGAACTCATTGTCATGTTCAAGAAACCAGTCTGAGATGATTCCAGCTTTATGACATGGCGCATTATCCTGCTGAAAGTAGCCATCAGAAGTTGGGTACATTGTGGTCATAAAGGGATGGACATGGTCAGCAACAATACTCAGGTAGGCTGTGGCGTTGCAACGATGCTCAATTGGTACCAAGGGGCCCAAAGAGTACCAAGAAAATATTCCCCACACCATGACACCACCACCACCAGCCTGAACCGTTGATACAAGGCAGGATAGATCCATGCTTTCATGTTGTAGACGCCAAATTCTGACCCTACCATCCGAATGTCGCAGCAGAAATCGAGACTCATCAGACCAGGCAACGTTTTTCCAATCTTCTATTGTCCAATTTCGATGAGCTTGTGCAAATTGTAGCCTCAGTTTCCTGTTCTTAGCTGAAAGGAGTGGCACCCGGTGTGGTCTTCTGCTGCTGTAGCCCATCTGCCTCAAAGTTCGACGTACTGTGCGTTCAGAGATGCTCTTCTGCCCACCTTGGTTGTAACGGGTGGTTATTTGAGTCACTGTTGCCCTTCTATCAGCTCGAACCAGTCTGGCCATTCTCCTCTGACCTCTGGCATCAACAAGGCATTTCCGCCCACAGAACTGCCGCTCACTGGATGTTTTTTCTTTTTCGGACCATTCTCTGTAAACCCTAGAGATGGTTGTGCGTGAAAATCCCAGTAGATTAGCAGTTTCTGAAATACTCAGACCAGCCCTTCTGGCACCAACAATCATGCCACGTTCAAAGTCACTCAAATCACCTTTCTTCCCCATACTGATGCTCGGTTTGAACTGCAGGAGATTGTCTTGACCATGTCTACATGCCTAAATGCACTGAGTTGCCGCCATGTGATTGGCTGCTTAGAAATTAAGTGTTAACGAGCAGTTGGACAGGTGTACCTAATAAAGTGGCCGGTGAGTGTATATCTCCATAACCGCGGGAATCCCCTTCTATGAAGGTCGCCATATCGTGACGTCATCTTTCTACCATAGCCGAACGCGAACACACAGTGCTACAGAACGCGTTTCGCCACTACCTTGAAAGAGAAGCAGCAGAAAGCTAGAAACTAGCCATAAACTCTGTGAGTAGTGACTTTTCCCTTGTGAGTAGTGTAAAATATGTAACTGGGATTGTTTCATGTAACTTAGTTCTCCCTCGCTGTGTTATGGGTTTGTTATGTGGGGATAAATGTCTGTTATGTTCGTAAGACAGCTGATTAGTACTCATGTCATTGATCGTAAAACAGTATGTTACAGGAACACTAACCCGTCGATCTTGTAAGAGATCTAAGTCGATCGCGAAGAGTTTTCAAAATCAGAGAAAAAGCCTATTGTGTGTAGTTTATGGTGTCTATGGGATGCGGAAATGCGCACGCTGTTACAATCATGTCATTTTTGCCGCGCGCACCTTTGGGCTCATGCGGACGCGTCGAGTTTAAACAAGGCTTTATGCTTTAACCAGTTCAGCCACAGTAGCTCATATTAGCCAGCTAAACTTTTACTACCCTGTTAGAAAAAATATATAGCTGCATAGTTTCATGTGGTTCTTCTCCCTCGCTGTATTATGGGTTTGTTATGTGGGGAGAAATGTGCTGCTGGTTACGTTTGTGAGACAATCTGCTGATCACTATTATTATTATATATTAAAACCCTTGATCCTCACCTGACTATGGCTTTGTAAACTGTATCCATGATGTGGTTTATAATGGACTGTGGTACAGAAACAATGGCTTCTTCGAAAGGGAGGGGTGAGCAGTGGGCTAAGCCCTTAGTGCAAACCTGGTGCAAACTCGCAACCAAACCGCTAGATGTCGCTAAAAATCCCACACTGCACCTTTAAACAGGCCTATGAAAATTTCCATTTTAAAAACCTGAATTTCGATGAATATTTTTCAATGCTCACAAATTCAGATACAAAAAAATAAAATAAATCAACGTACAGAATTTCAGATAAAATAGATTCAGGTTAAATTATGAATTATGGGCGTGCTTCTCAGAGTAGTAGCCATCAGCTTAAAAAAAACTATTTCTGGGTTATTTGGCTTGTTTGCTGTACTCCTTGTCTCACAACAGCTTTTAAACATTGTTTTGTTTTTTGTTATAAGTCATAAATGACAAGGAGGTAGCCTCTCGCAATGCAAATCAATGGAGACGGTTGGATTGTTTTTCTCCCCTGGTGGGGGCGTGAGCAGCCGGTAACAAGAAGTAGTCGAAGGAGAACGTCCTCGTCTCAGTTCTCGCGCATGTGCCCATAAGGAAGTAATGGAATAGTCGAATAAAGTCGTTATTCATGTTTTTTTCACAGAAAAAGTAGTCTCGTCGCTTGATAAACTTATAATTGAAACTTTAATGACTTTATGGGCCGTCAAGAGCCAGTCCCTTAGGCAGTCTATGAAGGAGTGATCCAGCTCTCAGATTTAATCAAAAATATCTTTATTTGTGTTCCGAAGATGAACGAAGGTCTTACGGGGTTGGTACAGGATGGGGGTGAGTAATTAAAGACTTAATTTTCATTTTTGGGTGAACTAACCCTTTAAAGTATTGTGCTGTTTTATAAAGGCACAAAGCCATATCATGGTTTCGATTTTAGTTTGTTGGCAAAATATAGCGCTAGAGACCTTTATGTTAGGGTATACATTTTACATCTCATATGTGTTGGGAAAGGGAGAAGAGAGAGTTCAGAAAAAGACGGTTTCGAACTCGGGTCGAGAGCATCAAAAGCTTCAAGCCCTACGACCTGCGCCACCGTAGCTATTTCGTGACAAGCTTCTTTTGCTAAAAAGGCACTTAGTGCAAATATACGCTCCGTTATCTAAAAAGTAAAAAAAAAAAAATTCTTCCCCTCGCTTGGGCCCCAAGTGCGCATGGCCAACTTGCAATAAATAAATTTGATCAGATCGGTCCTCGCGGCCTCGAAACACAACCGGCCCACAGGGGAAATTCCCGATTCTCCCGATTGCCACTCCGCCACTGGTGCCCAGGACCCCTTAGATGTCATGGGCCCCTGAGGCAAGAGCCCAGTTGCCCTAATGGTTAATCCAGCCCTGGTGGTCTGTGAGTGGTGTGTGCATCTGGCTCCTCCTAAACGGGCACCCTTTACTGTTCTGATCAGACAATCTTTGTGTCACGGGTGTGGGTGCAGGCAGAAGAACAGGCTGAGTTCAAGAAGCTCCAATATACAGATTTACTAATCATTAAGTTCAAATACAGGCAGGAAGACAGGGTAACACCAAGTAACATTAAACATTGACCGACAAAGACTGACTGACAGAGGGAGAACTAAATACAAGCAGGAATCAAACTAAACGAGGTGCAAACAGGTGAGAATGATGATGACAGGACGAGGAACAGGTGGCTGATTGGGGAGTGAGTCCGGGAGTAGAAACAAAAGGATCCGGGGAAGTGTGGTGCAGATGACGGGACACACTGGTGAGGACGACAGACTGTGACACTTTGGTGGTTGCCACCGGGTATTAATTAGCCCTAAGAGCATAATAATCCTTTATACACAACAACAATAAAATAGCACAATGACAGGACGTTGTAACAAATAAATAAAAGATCTTTTTCACAAAAGTTATCTTGCGCTTTTGCCTCCGATATCGCCCTGTCAGTCATCGCACCTCACTCTAGTCATGTGACTCCTGTGGCTCAACTTACCTCAGTATCTCCAATTTACACTTTATATTCTTCAGTCCAGTGCAGAGCAGCTTCACTCCTGAATCCTGCAGATTATTATTGTTCATGTTCAGCTCTTTCAGATTGGTGTCTGATCCAAGAACTGCAGCCAGAGATGAACAGCTTTTGTCTGTTAAGTTACAATTATTTAACCTACAATAAAGTCACAACACGGAATTAGATTGAACACATACAATACATTTTCTATATACTAATATTAATGAAATTTTCCACTTATTTTTTACATAAACAGCATATACAGCAAAGAGGCCGAGTTAAACTAACATTTACCTTTAAAAACTACAATTTCCTCAACAATAGTGTTTTTTATACAGTGACAAATTTCCAAGACAAATTGAAGCATGTTTGAAAAAATATTTGTGTAAAGCTGTTATATCTATAGGATATTTTCTCTATTTATGTCACCTGATAGAGTTTAGGTTCTTGCCAGTGTTGCCTCTGTCTTTCTTAATTGGGGACACTTAATATTAGGGGTGTGCACAAAAACTGATTCACATTTGTATCGCAATTCAAGCTTTACCGATTGAAAATCGATTAATAGAATTCCAAAAAAAAAAAGATTCATATATATATATATATATATATATATATATATATATATTAGGCATAACATTTTAAAAAAAAAGTTTGGTTACGGTTGGATGTCAGTTGGATGTCAGTTGAGATCATGGGTTGGTAGTTTTTTTTTTTTTTTTTCTCCAGTGGCAGCAAGGGATAGAAAGGAAATTATTTTTAATTTTTTTTTTTTTTAATTTTACTTTACAGTAGCGATGGATAGGCGACTCTGTTTTTCAATAACATACAGTAGCCTACCTGTACATGTACTCTACCACCTTGTGTGTCCCAGCATGTTACACACACACAAGCTGATTTTAAATGTGTATTATTTCTTCCCCAAGCTCATAAAATAAATTTGGGTCGCACATAAATTGACAGGGTCGGTCGGAGACTGGAATTGAACTTTTTTTTTATTTTTATTTTTTTTTATGCCTTAGTGGTGGGCATAGATTTTTTTTTTAATCTAGATTACAGTTTTTTCTGATTGCTTAAGCACATTTTTTGTAACTATTGGCTAGTTTTGCAAAACTCTACACACAAATAAGAAAACCTTTCACCCAATTATCAAAACATTGTAGTTCTCTTGCAAAATCAAACACAGCTAGATTAACTCTTCACACCTTCGTAAAAATTGTGTTTTTGTATCAAACAGTAAACACAAGCCATCATCTACTAAGCACACAATGTGCCAACTACACACTGATGGTATGAATGCAAAACACATCTGGCTTTTGCTGTCTCTGTTTACAGATGTCAATTTGAGGTCATACTTTTGTCATAGTGTCATGTAAACATACAAGGATACAAACTTCAAGTATTGGTGTTTATTCACACTCATAAAAACCAAGACAAAGTCAGAACACAAAAGAGTAATTTTGCAAAAAAAAAAACCCCAAAAAAAAAAAAAAAAAAAAACAATCAGCCTACATCATGTCGTCTTTCTGGGTTCGGCCGCAAAATTCCGTCCACACATCGCATGCAATATCCTCCAGTCCAAGGCACCGGGGAAAATATCTCCTTGAATGCCTTATCCAGGCCTGACATGATGCCTGGTCAATATCTCCACATGCCTCCTCCATTGCCTGTAAAAGTGCTACCTGTTGATGAGGATGACGGTCGTACACTTTCCAGAACTCCTCAATGGGATTTACGTAAGAATGGAGAGTATGGAGGGAGGTTGAGTGCCATGAAGAATGTGTGGTCTGTAAACCAGTTGCGGACCAAAGCAGCCCTATGGAAACTAACATTGTCCCATATGATGACATATCGGGTATGCTCTTCAACTCCACATCCTCTCCCTCTGCCTCCTTGTCCTCTTCTTGCTCCTTCCTCCAACTTCTTCACCTCCACGTCCTTTTCCTCCAACTTCTTCACCTCCATGTCCTCTCCCCCGGCCTCCTCTGATTCTCACTCTTCTCACTCTTACTGCTCCTTCCATTGTACTCCACACAGACAGCGTACCTGTGACTTATTTATAGTGCTTAGGCTGATTGCAAAGTTAACTAATTTTCTAACACAGTTTTCACATGTGAAAGTGAGCCAGACAGTTGGCAAAATAGTGTTAATGATAGCCATACATGTGTATAATTTTGCTAGTTGTGTTTAAAGTTCTGCAAAAAGAGTGTTGTGCAGTGAATTGTGCCTACAGTTTTGCAAAGTGTGTGTTACAAAATTGCAAATTGAGTGCAAAGCAGTTTTTGTGCTTTTAGTTTTGCAAACTCAGTGAGTGGTTTTGCCATACGTATTAATAGTTTTAGAAATTGTGCTACAAGAATCACGATTAGCGCCTAAGCATTCAGAAAAAACTGTAATCTCACTGTAATCTTGGAATTAATCTAGATTAAAATGGCTCATTTGAATTCATGAAGGCATTCAGGCATTGAAGGCATTCAGAATATGTATGATACCCAAATAAATAACCTTGCAGGTAGTTTGTAAAATGAGCAGAGGCGGAGCTAGACTCTTCATCATGGGGCTCTCTGCTACCGTATGTAATAAAGTGTCACTTTATTTTATTTATTTATTTAGATGGGACAATGCATATCAATGAACGTACAAACATAGTCGAACGTAAATATGCCGGATTTAGCACAATGCTAATTTCCATCCGTTGTCCCCCAACACAGACAAACACAATCCAAAAATAAATAGAAAAGACACACAATATACAATATATCAAGAAAACGCATGTAAAATAAAATATACACACACACACACACATATATATATATATATATAAAAACATAAATAACGGCTTTATTTGACTATTCCATTACTTCCTTATTGGCGCATGCGCGAGAACTGAGACGAGGACGATCTCCTTCGACTTGTTACCGGCTGCTCACCGCTTAGGAGTTTTACCGCCCCCTACCGTATAAGATGATGTGCTGATATAGCTGGAAGTGCAAAACTTTCTGTTTACAAGCAGAGGAAGATGCGCGCTGTACATACGCTTTTCAATTAGCGTATTTTCCGCACTACAAGGTGCACTTAAAAGCCTTTAATCTTCTCAAAAAACGACAGTGTGCCTTATCATCATCTTATACGGTAGGGGGCGGTAAAACTCCTAAGCGGTGAGCAGCCGGTAACAAGAAGTAGACGAATGAGAACGTCCTCGTCTCAGTTCTCGCGCATGCGCCAATAAGGAAGTAATGGAATAGTCGAATAAAGCCGTTATTTATGTTTTTTTTTCCGCACAAAAAGTAGTCTCGTCGCTTGATAAACTTATAATTGAGCCGCTGTAGTCACATGGAATATTTAAACCTTTTCTTTAATGACTTTATGGGCCGTCAAGAGCCAGTCCCTTAGGAAGCCAATGGAAGAGTGATACAGCTCAAAATATCTTTATTTGTGTTCCGAAGATGAACGAAGGTCTTACGGGGTTGGAACAGCATGGGGGTGAGTAATTAATGACTTAATTTTCATTTTTGGGTGAACTAACCCTTTAAACGCAACGTTTATAGAAATCGAACTTTACCTCATCTATGACAACTAATTTTCGATTCCCGTCTGACTGATTTATCCACGGTGGAGTTGAAAACAACAGTTCCCATCATTCCGCGTTCCTCCACGTCGTCATCAAGCAAAGCCGTTGTTGTTGTTTTGAATGTAGCGCCCTCTAGCGGCATCTAAATCTTAGGTATTGCAGCTTTAAGTGTAAAATACCGAACTAACCCTATAAACTACAGAATTAATCAAAGAAATAAGCATTTAAATATATAATTACTGGGAGAAACTGAGGGACAACTAGTATATGATGTGGTGAGATGTAGGTATTTTATTTTAGTAGCCTGTTTTATAAAAATCTCAATGTTTTATCTATAACCTTTCAAAATTTCATATTACGTTTTGACAATATAAATAACATCTATTCTGTACCAAATTACATTATTTCCCCCCAGTTTGGGTATATGAATAAAATATGCTTTTTTTTCTACCTCAAGTATGAGTATGTGATAATATAATATTCTATATAACAAGTCATACAAGTCTGGTGTATCATATGATACAAAACAATCATGCAAACATTTTCACAAGATATTTAATATTTTGTCTTAAATTGTGATAAACTGTCTCCACACACACACACACACACACACACACACACACACACACACACACACACATACACGTCTATATTACTAAAAGGGGACTATCGCTCTACACTGGCCAAGAGGGGACTAGTGTTTCTGGTCATTTTGAAGAAACAAAAATGACGTACAAAATTCTCTTTTAAGGTCTTTTTTCATAATATGACTTTAAATATGCATTTTTTTATTTTTAAAAAAACATGCCAAGTGGGGACCTGAAACTCTGGCCGATGTCTACCTTACCAACAGGGGACTCATATAGCCTGCAATTGAACTCTATGTCTGTGTGAACAGTGAAGTGAACTGGCAGTGAAATCTTGTCTTCATTTTGTAACTTATACATACTTATACACATATATGTGTGTGTGTGTGGGTGTGTCATTATATAATGCTCGAACAAATACATGTCTATATTGCTACACAGCAGTGTCGCTGTACACTGGCGAAGAGGGGACATTCTGAATGATATCTATCCAACCAAGTGGGGACTTTGTGTGTGTGTGTGAACTGGCAGTGAAATCTTTCTTCATTACGCTTACATTATATATATATATATATATACACTACCGGTCAAAAGTTTTAGATCAGTAAGTTTTTTGCTCACCAAGGCTGCTTTATTTGATAAAAAGATGACAAACAGTAATATTGTGAAATATTATGACAATTTAAAATGACTGTTTTCTGTTTTAATATATTTTAAAATGTAATTTGAAAGCTGAATTTTCAACACCATTACTGTTGCTGATTACACATCAGTTTTCAGTGTCACATGATCCTTTTGATCAATTTAACTCATCCTTGATGAATTAAAGTATTTTCGAATTTCTTTCCTCCAAAAATAAAAAATAAATAAATTCTTACTGGCCCCAAACTTTTGAATGGTAGTGATTAATGTTACAAAATATTTCCATTTCAGATTAATTCTGTTCTTTTTAACTTTCTATTCATCTACGAATCCTGCAATAAAAATGTAAAAAACTGTTTTCAACATGGATAATAATCATAAATGTTTCTTGAGCATCATATTATAATAATTTCTGTAGGATCATGTGACAATGAAGACTGAAATAATGATGATAAATTCAGCTTTGATCACAGGAATAAATTACACTTCACTATATATTCACATAAAAAACCGCTGTTTTAAATTGTAATAATATTTCACAATATTACCGTTTTTTTAATCAAATAATTGCAGCCTTGGTGAGCAGAAGAGACTTCTTAAAAAACATAAACAATCTTACCGATCTAAAACTATATATTTCTATACTACTAACAGCAGTGTCGCTGTACACTGGCGAAGAGGGGACATTCTGAATTATATCTATCCAACCAAGTGGGGACTTTGTGTGTGTGTGAACTGGCAGTGAAATCTTTCTTAATTACGCTTACATTATATATC